AATCCGCGGGCTATAGTACTAGAGCTAGGACTAGGTGTGTTGCAGATGAGCATTTCGACGACATTTACAGGAAATTGTCGGCAATAATAGGTGAAAAAGAGTAGAAAAACATTAAGACTTTGGTAGTAAATAGATTTCGTATTTATTTAGCCTTATATTTTATTGAAACGCTCCAAGTGCCTGTGCAGTGTATGTGCATCGATCTCCAAGTTAGGACATGCCACTTTTGTGTTGAGTTTGATGTCAGATTTGTTTACGTTTTTATAATTCTCAGTATGGAATGATTACTTACTCGTTTTATGTTCGCAAACGAAGCTGGGTGAAAGTCCTTTTTGGACATAAAATTATTAAATCCTTTCCCCATCTCGGAAGTGTGTTTGAAGCGTTCTAATTAACCTTAGACAACGAGAAAAATGATGAGGTATGAAATTTACGTAGATAGTGCGTAGGTGTCGGTGGTGAAACAAATTTCCAGACGATAGGTGGCGTGAAAGAAAGATGGTCTTTTATCATTCGGCAAATCTGATTTTCAATCGTGTTTATAACATTTTCATGTTGTTTTAAAGTGAGACGCAGATACTGAATTGTAAGTATATTAAGGCTAGCGCGCGTCTAATCAGGTTAAGAAGTAGTTATACGTATTTACGATGTAAGAAAATTGAGATACCACGATTATGGCATGGTCTATCAACCGTGCCGTGGACCGTGGCAATCGGTCCGTAACCTAACCGCTATCTAACCCTAGGCCTAGTAGATACAGATAGACATGTGTTATAACCCTGCAGAGCCAGGGATACCTGTGGGATTACATATATTTAATCTAATCTAACCCGAAATCGGGGTTAGAGTAACCTGAACCCTGATCCTTACCTTGAAAAAGGATTGATTGACTAGGGCATGCACTGATGCAGTACAGTTACTGAACAGGGCACATTAACAATGGTGTCCCCACTGTTAGTGTTAGCGTCTAGTGCTATTGCACGATGTTCCATCCTAAATTTATTTTGTATGTATATAAGGCAACATACAAACTCCCCATGTTGCAAAAATGACCTGAAGGCTGAAGTCTAAGAATGATACAATTAACCTGTGTGTCGTAAACGACGTGACGTGATGCGGCTGCAGTCGCCGCGTACTCGACTACAAGATCAATGATGTATCAAGCTTAAAAGTGAGAACAGAAATCGTTGAAGAAATCTTCAAGTCAAGTATGAATATCATGGATCAACTGATCTGAATATAGAGCCCTAAATGGTGCCAAAGTACCACCTAATTAAAACTAAGTAACACCAAGTGAAGTTGCTACCACAGCCGCACATACTTCCGTCACAGATAAAACAAAAGCCAAAGAGATAAAGTCGACCGTCTACCTATAGCATGGCCTGAATGCGTTTTGCAGGCTGGTCGCTGTGTTTCCATGGATACGCTCTCCGCCGAGGTACAACGCGTGCTACCGCCGCGTGCTAACGTCGTCGCTGCTTCGCGTCGCGTTGCCACGGCAACGATCGGTGACCCGGCTGCGTCTTTACTCGCTGCCTGCATAGCAAGCGTTTACGGAGGAGGAGGAGGAGGAGGTGCAGCAGGGAAGGAGGAGGAGGAAGAAGAAATGGAGGAGGACAAGGCAAAGAAAGATGTGGAGAAAGAAGAAGAAAAGGAGAAGAGGGTGAAAGAGGGAAAGGATGGGGAGAATATGGAAGAGGATGAAGGGAATAAGGAGAAAATGAAGGAGAAGGCGAACAACGAGGAGAAGGAGGAGGAAGAGGAGGAGAAGATGCAGGAGGAGGGGAATAAGGAGAAGGAGGATGAGAACAGAGAGGAGGAGGAGGCGTGGGAGGAGGGTCTCCGTCTCTCTCAGTGTCTGCTAGACATCACCTGGGAGCAGCTGAACACGGGGCCCTGGAGGGACGTTGACGTCTGCTGGCGGCAGCTCTACACATGTGCCTCACTCGTTAAAGCCACCTGTCAGCTCATTGCAGCCACACGCGGCGGCAACGACGACGATGACGATGATGATGATGAAATTATGAAACGTCTATGCTGTGATAAAAGCTGCAGGAGCAGCAACCACAGTGGAGGTGGTGACAGAGGCGGCAGCAGTAGTGTTGCTGGTAATGGTGATGCCGGTGATGATGTGACAGTGGACAGGCTATGTGGCAGTGGCAATAGCAGCAGTAGCAACAACAACAATAGAGGCAGCAGCAGCAGCAGCGGCGGTGTTGTCACGGCGACGGCCTCCGCGTTGGAGCGGATGCTGCGTGAGGTGATCAGGACGTGTGACATGGGGCTGCTGCTAGGCGCTCCTCTACTCAACAACGCTCTCGCACGACTAGTCACCGCTCTGTGCCATATGCTGCAGCCAGTGGGCGCCGCCGAAGCCGCTGCCAAGACCACGCCACCAGGGGGCGCCGGCGAAGCTCGCAAGGAGACGTCTCCAGAGTTGGAACCCAGTGTTCCTCGTAAGAAACCGCGACTAGACAGCAAAAATGATGGCACTGAAGGAGGAAGAGGAGGAGGAGGAGGAGGAAGAGAACGAGAAAGAGGGGGAGGAAGAGGAATGGAAGGTAGCAGCAGCAGCAGCAGCAGCAGCAGCGGCAGCAGCGGCAGCAGCGGCAGCAGCGGCAGCAGCGGCAGCAGTGACATTATCATTGACCCCGCGCGCGCCGTGCCGCGCGTGTCCGCCCCGTCCCTCGAGTCGTTCTCTCGCTACCTGCGCTCGCGACGCCCCGTCGTCATCACCGCCGCCATGCAGCACTGGCCCGCCACGCGACGATGGAGCGCCCCCTACCTGCGCCGCGTCGCCGGCCCCCGCACCGTCCCCGTAGAGATCGGCCGTCGCTACACCGACGACACCTGGACACAGAAGCTGATGACGGTGGACGAGTTCGTGTCGCGGCACCTAGAGGGCGCCGGCGGCGGCGACGACGACGACGGCGTCGGTTACCTCGCGCAGCATCAGCTGTTCGATCAGATCCCGGAGCTGCGACGCGACATCGTCGTCCCCGACTACTGCTGCGCGCGTTGCCACGACGACGACGAGGACGAGGACGTGGACGTGAACGCGTGGATCGGTCCCCGGGGGACCGTCTCCCCGCTGCATCACGACCCCAAACACAACCTCCTAGCTCAGGTCGTCGGGCGGAAATACGTGCGTCTGTACGCCCCCGACCAATCGCCGCGCCTCTACCCGCACGACGGCGCGTTGCTAGGCAACACGAGTCGCGTTGACGCGGAGCGGCCGGATGCTGCGGAGTTCCCGTTGTTCGGGGATGCAGAGTACGAGGAGTGCGTGCTGGAGGCTGGAGAGATGCTGTACCTGCCGCCGCGACACTGGCACTACGTACGCTCCCTCCAACTCAGCTTCTCTGTAGAAGTATAGTAATGTGAAAACAACTGATATGTAGTCTGGAGCTTCCGTACATGATTGTAATATAGAATATAATTTACTATATAATATATTGTATAATGTATTCTTTGTAATCTGATGTACAGCAACATGAAGCATGATTGATGTGTAATCTGTAGCATCGTTACCTGGTTGCCGGCGCTGTGGTTGACGCGTCTTCCTAGAACGTTCTGCTTCAGTACCAACCCCGAGTCTTCCTTCAGGCCCTTTATAAGGTCCTTCTGCGGCACGGGTTCTACAAAGATGAGAAAGATTCTATAATCTCGACATGTGGTTAGGAGATCACTATGCTGAATAATTCTCACGCACATGCTATTACAATTACTGTTTAGGACAAGATATCTGCTCTTCCGAATAAGATTTTAACTTTTACGATGACAATGACTTAGGAAGCAAAATTAAGAACCAAAATACAAGAATTTTTTAACATTAAATAAATAAACTTATGCGCAGTATTTTGTTTCATTTATATGCAGGGATGAGATTAGATAATTTAATTTTCAGCTGAAATTTTAATTAGCAAACAGAGGAGCGAGCAATGCGAGGACCGTAGGTCAAAAATTAGGATCCGCGGAAGAATCTCATCCCTGTATATGTGAATGTTTTTATTTTTCCCTTTTTTTGCTAATTAAATTTGTAAAATCAATAATGGTAGTACGACCCCCCACTCTACTCACCGCTCCCCTCCTCCCCCTCCTCCCCGGTCTACTCACCGCTCCCCTCCTCCCCCTCCTCCCCAGTCTTCGTTGTGGGGTCGGTCAGCAGGCTAGTCTTGCCATACAGCGTGCAGACCTTGTCAGTGTTCACGTGACCCCACTTATGACACTTGAGACATCGCACGTTTCGCACCTCTATGCCAAACGGCTGGTCCCTCACCGCTGAGTCATTCTTCGCATACCTGTCGCATATAATATGTATATATATATATATATATATACCTATCACATTACTTGTCACATGCACGCATGCACACACGCACACACTCATGCACGCACGCACGCACACGCACGCATACACGCACGCACACACGCACGCACGCACGCACGCATACCCGCACGCACGCACGCATACACATATATATACCTATCGCATTACTTGTCACATGCACGCACACACGCACACACGCACGCACGCACGCACGCACGCACACACGCATACACACGCGCACGCATGCACACATGCACGCACCCACGCACGCATACACATATATATACCTATCACATTACTTGTCACATGCACGCATGCACGCACACACGCATACACGCACGCACGCATGCACGCACGCACGCACATATATACCTGTCGCATTACCTGTCGCGGAGATTCAAGGTTTCAGATGAGGTCAGGTCATGTGAGGATTTGAAAAGAATATAGAGATACGGGTATAGAGGTTAGGTCTATGAGACAAACTCAGTGTTAAGACTAACGTTAATACTAATTTTGTTTCTGACAATGGGGCTCCAGGGTTTTGAAAACGGGGCGCCGCAATTTGATGGAACGTTCAACGCTAATCGCTGATGTGACAGAATAAATTAGGATTATTAATAAGTGCCTGAGCTGTTACTGCTACTGTTGCCTGGACCGAGGGTCCTGCATAACACTGAACACTAACACACGGTCGGATCAACGTTGACTCACGATTCGCGCGGCGCGTTGTACTTCCTCTGCCACTCGAACTTGTATTCCGGTTCGTCGTCTTCCTTCTCTCTTGCTGCCTTCGTGCCGGGAGGAGCGTCGTACATGAAGCTCAACCCCAGCTTCAGTTTCTCATCGTTGCCTAGCAACGCCCTGCAGCGAGTCGGTGAAGCATGAACGCATGAACGCGCACGCACGCACGCACGCACGC